CCATCCATCCATCCATCCATCCATCCATCCATCCATCCATCCATCCTCTTCCACTTCTTCTGAAGTCAAGTCGTGGGAGCAGCAGCTTGAGCAGGGAGGTCCAGACATCTCTTTCCACAGCCACTTCTTCCAGCTCTTCTGGGAGGACTCCAGGGTGTTCCCAGGACAAGAGACATAGTCTCTCCAGCTTGTCCTGGGTCTTCCTCGGGGTCTCCTCCCAGTCGGACATGCCTGAAGCACCTCCCCAGGGAGATGCCCAGGGAGCATCCATTCCAGATGCCCAAACCACCTCAACTGGTTCCTTTAGATGTGGAGGAGCAGCGGTTCTACTCCGAGTCTCTCCTGATAACTGAACTTCTCACCGTATCTCTAAGGGAGAGTCCAGCTGCAGAGGAAACTCATTTCCACCGCCTGTATCCACAATTTCATTCTTTCAGTCTCAACCCAGAGTTCATGACCATAGCTGAGGGTCGGAACATAGACTGGATGGTAAACAGAGAGCTTTGCCTTAAAGCTCAGCTCCCTCTTCACTACACTGGACCAGCACAGAGTCCACAATACTGCAGATGCTGCACCAATCTGTCTGTCAATCTTACGCTCCATTCTTCCCTCACTCGTGAACAAAGTCCCTAAAACCCCATTTGCTTGTAGAACTGTTTGAATTCTTTGTGGCGTAGAGTCATCAGGTGTTGGAACATCCCTCGGAGATTTGTGTTGTATAGACGTGACAGCATCGCACAGTTGCTGCAGATTTGTCAGCTGCACGTCCACGGTGCAGCTCTCCTGTTCAGCCACATCCTAAAGGTGCTGGATACGAGCTGGTGACTGTGGAGGCTGCTGGTGAATCAAGTTCATCTGACCAGACGATGCTTTTCCAGTTGCCCAGTGTTGGTGTAGCCTCAGCGTCCTGTTCTTATCTGGCAGGAGCTGGACCCAGTGTGGCCTTCTGCTGCTGGGGAACATCTACTCTGAGGTTGTTGAGCGATCAGAGATGATATTCTGTAGATCTTTGTTGAATGAAGGGCTATTGAAGCTACTCTTGCCTTTCTCTCATCAACTTGATTGATAGCTGATATCCACAAAGCATCATCATCCACATCCTGAATATTTTTTAATTTTTTTGGATCATTCTCTAAAACCCCAGAGATGGTTGTGTGTGAATGTCACAGTGGTTCAGCGGTTTATGAAACACTCAAACCAACCAAGTCAAGTTCAAAATCACATAAGTCCTTGTCCTTTTGAATGATGGCACTCGGTTTGAACTTCAGCGCATCGTCTTCATCACATCTGGATGCCTGAATGCATTGAGTTGCTGTCAAATGTGTACCTAATGAAGTGGCTGGTGAGTGTGGTGTGCATCTTCTCATAAAGTTTTCACTTAATGGTTTCTACAAGGAAGAAATAATACTGAAGACACTAAAACTGTCAAAGTGTCTTGATAACACTGAGCCTCTTCTGTTGCAGCTCATCAACCTCTCGCAGAAACATCCGGCTCTCACCCAGATGAACCATAAGGTAACCAGAGCACCTAACAGTAGCCCTAAAAGTTAACGGTTTATGAGGTGAAATGTTTCAATGCACGTGTTTGTTTCAGGTTTTGAGCACAGGATGGCTGGAGCACCACGCTCCCAGCTTGGATCAGATCTTTAACGTGTGCACAACGATGGAGAACTGGCTGCTAACTCACCCGAAGCACGTCCTGGTGTTACACTGCAGGGTGCTGCTCATCACCACACACCTACAGCAGCATCCTTTTACTCAATGTGCCGTCCATCCAGATTGTGCTGATGGTATTGTCGTCCTCAACAGGGAGACAAAGGCCGGCTTGGGGTCCTGGTGGGATCTTACATCCACTTCAGCAACATGTTCCCCAGGTAACACTGATAAAAATGATTAAAAAAAAATGTTAAGACAAATGATCTGTTTTCTTATTTTTACTCTGGCAGTGATGTGTTTTGTGGACCTCGGAGAAGGCTTTAGACCGTGTTCCTCGGGGTACACTGTTGCGAGTGCTCTGTGAATATGGGATTGGGAGCCCGTTGCTCCGAGCTGTTCAGTCCCTGTACAAGCGGTGCGAGAGTTTGGTTCACATTACCGGAAATAAGTCGGACCCCTTCAGGGTGGGAGTTGGACTCCACCAGGACTGCCCGTTGTCACAGATTATGTTCATAACCGTCATGGACAGAATTTCTCGGTGCAGCCACGTGGTGGAGGGAGTCCGGTTCGATGGCCTCAGGATTCCATCTCTGCTCTTTGCAGATGATGTGGTCCTGTTGGCGTCATCGTGCCGTGATCTTCAGCTCTCACTGGAGCGGTTCACAGACGAGTGTGAAGCATCTGGGATTAGAATCAGCTCCATGGTCCTCAGTCGTAAAAGGGTGGATTGTTCTCTTCAGGTCGAGGGTGAGGTTCTGCCTCAAGTGGAGGAGTTCAAGTATCTCGGGGTTTTTCACGAGTGAGGGAAGAATGGAGCGTGAGATTGACAGATGGATTGGTGCAGTGGCTGCAGTATTGTCGACTCTGTGCCGGTCCATTGTGGTGAAGAGGGAGCTGAGTTTTAAGGCAAAGCTCTCGGTTTACTGGTCAGTCTATGTTCCTACTCTCATCTATGGTCATGAACTCTGGGTAGTGATCGAAAGAATGAGATCATGGATATAGGCGGTTGAAATGAGTTTCCTCCGCAGTGTATGGACTCTCCCTTAGAGACAGGGTGAGAAGTTCAGGTACCGCTGCTCCTCCACATCGAGAGGAGCCAGTTGAGGTGGTTTGGGTTACTGGTAAGGATACTCCCTAGGCGCCTTCCTAGGGAGGTGCTTTGGGCATGTCCGACTGGGAGGAGACCTGGGGAAGATTCAGGACACGCTGGAGAGACTACGTCTCTCAGTTGGTCTGGGAACGCCCAGAAGAGCTGGAAGAGGTGGCTGTGAAAAGAGATGTCTGGACCTCCCTGCTCAAGATGCTGCCCCCAAGACCCAACTTCAGAAGAAGCGGAAGATGATGGACGGATGGATGATGTAAGGAACCTAAAGTTAGATTTAGGAGCAGGGACAATGTGTGGTCAGTGCTATTTGTTTGACGTTTGCTAGTAAGACGACACGAAAGAAAAAACTTTCCGCTCCAGGTCGAGAACCTCAGTCTTATCAGAAAACGTGCGACAGGAACGTTTGTTCACGCGGCACAATCCCGGGTTAGGAAATGTGAAACTCCATGAAAAAAAAATCTCTGTGTGGATTTTGTAGATTTCTGGGAAATTCATCTTGGATGCAACTTGTTTGATTCTCTCCCAGTGGGCTTCATTGTGTGTGTGTTAGAGAGTTTATTGACGTGAAGGGACGTGTGACTGTGAATGGATGAACCATCGCTGACTGTTGGACGGGTCTGCAGGGCAAAGAGCGCGGACAGAACAATAGACTGATCTGATGAACGTCTTCAGCAGGTCAAAGGGCAGAGTGGATGATTATCGACTCTTATCAGCGCTGTTTGGTTTTAGGGCACGGATTCTGTTGTGCACGTAAAAGACTAATTATATTTAACTAAGATCAACAAGTTTGTTTATCGTCTGATCTAAAAGTTGAAGCTGTTAAAACCATGAACTAGTTTGGCTTCGTCTTATTGTCTGATGTAAATAAAGTTCACATCAAATCACTTATGTGCACGTGTGTGCTCACGCTGTTGGTGTGTTTGTGCAAAAGCTTGAGAAAGACGTTTATTTTTTATTTGTTTTAGACGCCATTTTTGAGATTTAGGGCCTTGTTTTCGTAGACGTTGCACCATCGCCTGAACCTGTGTGTGTTTCTCAGCCCAGACCTCTCTCTCGACCACGTTGCCATGAGTTTCTACAACGACAAGCTGTCCGCTCAGATGACCCCCTCACAAAAACGGTAAGAACATCTGAGCTCAAAGCTCGACCAGTTTGCCTTTAATCAAAGACGCAGAAGGAATCTGCTGAGACTGTCCACATTCAATCACCTGATTCGTCCCGAGCATTTGAGATAAACCGTTTAACGTCAAACCACAGTCAGAGGGTTTCTTTTTATCGACGCAACGTTTGGTTTGTTCCAGGTACGTTTGGATGCTGCGCAGCGTGCTAACCAGAGGACTGAGGATGAGTCCGTCTCCGTTCTTCCTCCTCTGTGTTGTTCTTTATGGTCTTCCCAAAATGAGAGCAGATGGAGGTAAAACGGCCGCACCACAGTGTCTGCAGACGACCGTAACATACTGCGTTGAACCGTTGTTTTTCTTTTTTTATATTAACTCTCCTTACGTTTGAAACAGTGGCGATTTTAGCCTCTTTTTGGTTGTGCTCAAGCGCCCTAAATTTTAACTCAGAACCCCTGAAAAATACAGTAAAAAAAAAATAAAAATTTATATATATATATATATATATATATATATATACGAATGCTTCGTCTATGGCCACCACGTTCTTCAAGCCAAGAGCCATTGTCAGCAGCACTGGGGGGCTGAGCACCCCTAAAATTCAGATTCTAGAATCGCCCCTGGTTTGAAAAGTGCTGGTCCAAAGAAAAAAGACATGACAAATGGTCATATGGGTCAGTTAAATGGTAAAAGTCAAACACAGTTTAAATAAGAATGCTGCCCCCAAATTACCCGTCAACACACCAGCAGCTATCTATAGCAATGGACCAGACATGCAAATACCACGTTTTAATTTGACATTGATTTGTAACCTTGACCTTGAAGCTGGGGGGATGAAAAGTATACACAAAACTCCATCTAGGATCAAGATCCTCGATCCATATGTGTATGAAGTTTCATTAAATTATGTCGAGCAGATCAGAAGTTAGGGTCCAGACAAGGGGAAGTTTATGGATGTATGGAGACCATTACACATCCGCTTTCAACATGCTTATATAACAAAAGTGTTTTACAGTAAACTACTGGTGACTGTGGTTGAATAATTTCATCTTAATGACTGTATGATATTGTACAGCATACTTCTTTATAATAGTTGAGAAATAATCTTTGTTTACGATTAATATTTGTATTATTTTCATTTCAATTATTTAGGCTGCTGTCTGTTCCTGAGGGTTTACCAGAGCCTGCAAGCTGTTTGCACGTCAGCACTTTAGTAAGAACCACCATTTGTTTGCATTGAGCACCTTCACACGCAGAACGGGAAGTAATCTGGTTTGTTTCCACCCCAGCCACCTCAACGCAGCTCAGGACCGACTCTACGTCGTGCTTCAGCCGGCGCAGCTGCTCAAAGGAGACATCATGGTGAGGAATCATCTCTCACAAATCAATTCAAAATGATGCACGACAGACATAATGGAACCAGATAAAAAAATTAATTTGCGTTACATTTCTTTCACACATGAACTCGTGTTTTAAATCTGGACAAAACTTGTGCAAAAGAAAAACAAGTAAAAAAATGTAAACACTCCTATTTTATGCCTTGGTTCATGTTTGCATGAAAAATGAGAGAAAATTTGGAAAAGTTTTATTTTCACTACGATTCTTGGATTTCAGGCCTGAAATGAAAGAAGAGATTTATTTTAAATCAAAGAAAGAAAATAAAATGAGTTATTCTGGGTTTATATTTTCTGCACATAAAGTAAATAAAAAATGACTTTTTCCACTGATTTCTTCCAGAAGTTTCTGCACATCAGCTGATGTTTTTTTTAACATAAATTATAAAATGTGTGCCGCTAACGCACACACTATAACATTCATACGTGTTTTTAATTTTAAACAGATTTTCTTTAGAAAAATAAAAAAATAAAAAAAAAGAAATAGCAGGTTTTTAACAGTAACTTTCACAGAACTTATATTTATTAAAATTTAAAATAAAAATGTGTTTAATTCCAAAATACATATGCCAGCAAAAAGAACTATATATATATATATATATAATTTATTTGCACATGTAAATATAATTTCAGAACTGAGAGAATTTAATGATACTTTTGTCATTTTCCTCCACATCTCAAATGACTGCCCTCATTTAACAATCAGCAATTCTGCTTCTTCTTTCTGTTACATTTGGACTTTTATAAAACATTGTCATTTACACTTTTATTATCAAAGAATTGGCTTGAGGACAAAAATAAAACATTAAAAAAAGTAAAATATCCTATTATAAACAACAACAAAAAAGGTAAAATTGTGTCAACTGGACCCGTTTCAAAATTATATTCATTCAAATCAAATTATAATTCATGAAAAAATGTGCTAAGAGGAACCAAGCACACGAACAAGTCTGGCATGTTTGCATATTTAGGTGAGTGATCATGTCTTTGCTCAATATTTCATGAACCACTGCGCAGATTTGAATAAACTAAACATCGGTTGTGCATCTACAACTGGTAACATTTGAAGGCAATGGGATACAAGATGGCCGCCACAGCTAATTGAATTTAGCAAAAACAAAAAATCGTGATAAGAGCTCATTTTACAGACAGTGAGGTAAAATTTGGTGTGGTAGTAGCTGAGAGTCACCCCCATCAAACACTCTGAATGTTAACAAATCATGCAATTGAAACTTTTTGAATTTGTTTGTAAAAGTAAGATAAATAAAATAAGTTTTAAACTCAGTGAGTTCTTCATGAGCAGTGATTTGACATTTTGTCTTTTCAGGTGGTCTGCTACGATAAAAACAGCCGGTCTGCGAGTCGTCGTGTAGTCTTCCGACTTCAGTTCCACACGGGACTCGTGGTCGGACGCACCCTCTCGTTCTCCAAGGCCGACCTTGACTGCGCGTGCGAAGGTGATCTGCTCAGAGCTCGGCTGTTCCTGCTCCTCTCAGCTTTAATCTGTCACTGATAAACCTGCCAGCCCTCAGTTCTCACACCTGAGCTGCTCTGGGACTGGAGCACCTGTGCAGGTGTGAAGGACGCATGGACACAGTCCAGCTGTTTGAGTTTCCTCTGCCTCTTCCAGATCCTCGCTTCCCAGATGATGGAAAGGTGGACCTGGTGTTCTCTGGAAACCCTGAGAAGATCGCAGGTACTCTGTCTCTGAAGACGCTTCTCACTGGTTTATGTTCAGATAAAAATTATAGTCAGAGATACTAAACATTTAGGTTTGCATGTTTTGGTGAAGCTTTACTGAGAATCCACAATGAGTCATCTCAACGTTGAATGTTTTTCTTGTCTTTAATCAACATTCTTTACAAATCCACCAAAACGAAAAAAGGCGTTTTTCTGTCTGCGCTTCAGTTTTTGTAGCATAACTGGTTTATAATTTGCAGAACTGGGACAGCTTCAACATAAAACAGTCATTTTCCGTCTCGTGAGATGAGAAAATCTTGGTTTTCTTGCACAACTTTTTGTTTTGCTTGGGCTTTTAATTGTGCGGGGAATAAAAACACATTTAATCTGAATACTAAGGATGGCGGTTCGACTCGTTTGATGGTCAGAAATACTTCCAAAGATCCAGGTTGAATGTTTATTTTCTTGATTTAATTTTATTGTTTTTCTCAGTACAGCCCATCGCTGTACACCTTTAGTCGAAGAACCACTTATGTTTGGGCATTATAATGTATTTTTTGATGTGTTTGATGTATTGCAATGCAGACATGAGTGATTCTGATTCTTATTTAATGTTAATAAAGTCACCGAGGAATGCAAAAGGCAGAACTCTAAAGTTTGGAAGTGCAGAGCCCAGAGAGCTTAAAAACGAGGAAGAACGGGCTAACTGAGACATACGGCTCCTTCTGCACAGAGTTTGGAAGATTTCAGATTCTATGACGAGGAAAATTACGTATTTTGAACGTTGGAGCCACTCTAGACATGATCGTTCTTCACCAAAGTAAGAATGCACGATATTGAACTTTAACGCTAACATCAGCCGATACCGATACCACTGGATGTATAGATTGGATTTAATCATGATATTCTTCAGATATTCTGTGTTTGGTGTGGGGAGTGGGGCGGTTATGGTTTAGTGTAGCTTTTGTGCACAACTGTTCATTGTTCAGTGTAATCTAGACCAGTCCATGACACATTTACATCCCAGATGGTTCCTCTTATTGGGGAAGCTTTTTTCTAAGAAGCACAAGCTTAAAAAAGAAGTTCTGAGTATTTGAAGGGGCTGAAATTCCTGCAGCGTGAGCACAGAAAGGACTCAGGATTTCCTCCAGTTGTTGTAAGAACTTTGAAAAGGTTCTTGTGATCCAGAAGCACCCGTTGTGCAAATAGGACTGCGCCCGTCTTTACACACCACTGCAAAATCCAAGAGATTCATGGACTTGGGTAAAAGATTATACAGTTTTGGACTCTTTTGTAAAATTTTATAGATATAGTATTCCAGTCTTAACATCTGGGTCAAATGCTTGGGAGCATGAATGAGTTTGATGACAAATCCCAAGTATCAGGTAAGAAACCTGCATCACTTGGAAAGAGACATCTTTCACTGGATCTGAATTTTTTTTTTTCAATTCAAGAAGAGAAAAGAACCATGCAAAAAAAAAAAAAAAAAAAAACCCTGAAACATTTAGACAAATTCTCACTGTATCAATATTTGGATTACAGAACATCTCAAGATGTAGTGAATTGTAATTCCTAATTCAAGCAGAAGAGAAGAGTGACTCACCTTCTCACGTCCAGGAGCCAGACGAGGGCAGTGTTGGACACCACAGCAACCAAAGTGACCCTCAGCACCAGCAAATCAGGCTCCTCACGTCTCAACAGGAAGCAATCTGAGGGGCTTATCAGAGGAAAACATCTGACAGGAATTCAGATTCACAGATACTGTAGGCAGGAGAACACTCAACCGTTCACACACAACCAACGAACGAGCAGAAAACAAAGACAAAAAGCTCAGATTATGGTTTAATTCACAACTGGACAATATGTATTTGGGTTGTTTGGACATGTTTGATTAATGGGACAAAAATAAGTAAAACCATTGACACAATAAGCTGCATGTATATATATATATATATATATATTTATTTATATAAGTATGTATGTATATAGATAGGGAGATTTGTAGTTCTAGAATTGCGCCGCTCAAGGTGGCTACATGTTGGAGCAGATCTTTTACTTTCATTCTGGGATGTTGTTTTTGGAAACTTTAATTCCTCTTTTTCCTGGATGTACTTTGTAAATCGCCTTTTTTTGGATGATTAAATCCTCTGTGCAGCTGGAAGGATTTTTACTGAAATCTTTTTTGCTTTTGGACATTTGTTATGGTGCGTAACCATGACAACAAAGTGTTTTTTTTTTTTTTTTTTACAACCGGGAGCAGCTGATTAACATCTCAAAGCTCAAATAATACCTCAACTATAGCTCACAAATCACAAATGAGTTAAAAAAGGAGGAGCCGTGGATGCATCCCCGTCTACCTTGTGGGAGTGCTTGAGTGACCGCCGAGATCCTGGAGCTGGCAGCAAACGTGAGTCGTGACTACAAGAAGACCAAGATCATCCCCTGACACTTGCCGTCTGTCCGCAATTATGAGAAGCTCAACAAGTTGCTGGGAGGAGTGACTGTCGCTCAGGGAGGAGTTCTGCCCAAGATTCAGGTGGTCCTGCTGCCCCAAAAAGACCGACCAACCAAGTCCAAGTAGATGGATCAACATCTGCCAACAGTTTTTTTCAGATCTACTCTAAGACAGACTGCTACAAGAGGTCCCTCCTGCCCACAGCCATTAGCATCTATAACAACTGTTTAATGAAACAAGGATGATGAGCTACAGCATTTAATTTTTTTCATTTAGCCTTTATTTATACAGGTTAGTCTCATTGAGCCACGAGAACTCATTTTCAAGAGAGACTTGTTTAGGGAGCACATGGTGGGGGTTAAGGGCCTTAATTTCCCTTTGGGATTAATAAAGTATTTTTGAATTGAATTGAAATGAATCACATCATCGGCAAAAGTACACAGAGAAAAGTTTGCTTTCCTTTACAAGACATGAAGCTAACATTTGATGCAATTTAGAATACTTTTTGTGAAAACTGTCTATAGGAAACAAAGTTCATGCTCAAGTATGTATATAGGAAGTTCATTTTAGGTCTAACCAGCACCTGTGACACTTATCACTGTTAATCTAAATATCAATTCTTGGCTAGAAAATGCAATATTTTGTCTTTTTAGCTCCTGTTTTACTCATCATGGACACCCTTTGGTTTTATAATATGGTAAATAAACTGTTCAAGCTTATTGTAATCAAAAAGTAATTTCTTTTGTGAACTGGTTTTAACGTATCTCGTGAATCATTACTTCAAATTCTTGCAATAAATTAATTCAGGGTATTTCATTTTGCATGAAGCTCAGAAGGATTGGATTGAGATGGTTTGCTCCTGGTCCTTCTTGGGCACATGTTGCTCATGTGTGGTTTAAATAAACAAGGAGTGAGATAAATGTGTGTTATTTACAGCTGTTTTTATTTCCACAGCTGTGTAAAGTGATCTGGTATTTATTTTTGATGGTGTGCAGGTTCTGAGCTGTGGCACAACAGCAGCTCTGTGACGGTGGACTACGACACCCTGGACCCTTTGGTCCGACGAGACTCGTATCACAGCTCATCTTTTGACGCAGGTAAAAATGATGAGTTTGCACCTCGTAAATCATTCCTAATTCATCTAAAAAAAAAAAAAAAACATTTTATAGGAGATGCATTGATTTGTTTGCTGCTTTAACATATTTTGATTTATTATTTTATCCTTGTAGAAGAGCCATACGTTTTATTTAGAAATGAACTGAGAGACAAACCCAAACAAGTTATTCAACTGTTACATTTTGTTAGATAGCACAATAAAAACGTAACCCACAGGAGCTCTGTCTTTATCGCTGCCCTGCAGGGTTTTCATGGACACGTAAGCACCTTTAATATTTTATTACGTCGGAATTAACAAAGTCATCACCAAACAAACAAATGCATCACCTCTGAGACAAACAAGACAACAGCTGATTTTCCATTTCCTGTATACACACTTCTGAAATATTATACCAGGTTAGTTCAAGTTCAAGAATCTTTATTATCCTCACGGGGCAATTTGTTTCACAGTCAGTAGACACACAAAAACATCCATACTAGACAAGACACTGAGACGTTATAATAACCTTAAGCCTCATCATTACAGGGTTAAATGAGTTTCAGTCTGTTTGTTCTACATGTGGGCAGCAGATACCTGCATCCAGATGGAAGCAACCTGAACTCACCATGGAGTGGATGATCAGGATCTGCCAGAATCAGCCTGGCCTTGTTCACTGACCTCGCCTTGTGTGGGTCAGTGAGGTTCTGCAGGGCTACGTCAGCAGTTTGTCAGGTCAAGTAATCTAAACTACCAGATTGGCTTTAGGAATCAAGTTTAACAGAAAAGGTTTAGGAACCAGAAGTACCCAGTTAAGAATCAAATCAAATCTCCAGTGTTTGTTTAGCAATTAAAGCTACAAGTTAAAGAATTGGCTGTGTGGCGTAGAGGTAGGGCAGCTGATGGGACTGAAAAGTCACAGGTTTGACTCCCTCCCAGCAGGCAGCGCTGCTCCACTTGGGTGTATCTCCTCCCGTGTGACTGCAGGTCAAACGCAGAGCACAAATTTCATCACGAACGTGATTAAGTGTATAAATCAAAACGATCAGGTTAGGTTTAGTATTCAAAGCTACAATGTTATTGTTGCGTTTCTGCTGTTTGCTAGAACCCACGTGCAGGTTGGACTCGGAGAACTCAGACGGTAAGAGTAATTAAATTGATTTATTAAACAAAACGGAAGGCTGGCGTGGCAGCAAACTTACACGAACATCGAGGAGATACGGAGGGAGGCAGATAACAGGACGCCATTCAAGACAATCCCCAGACAATGAGGAACACAGACTTACAGCCGCTAACGAACAGACGATGACAGACACCTGGGGAAGGACAACAGGTGGTGGAGGCAGGAGCGGAAACACTGAGGAGGGCAGGATGGAAGACACAACACAAACACGCACAGATCCTCGCTGTTATCGTATTTTCCGGCGTATAAGTCGCTCCTGAGTATAAGTCGCCTCAGTCATAAAAAGCATCATGAAGAGGGAAAAAACATATAACTCGCTTCGGCGTATAAGTCGCATTTATTATGCGTCACCGCTGACGCGTCGTGTTTATTATGTGTTTATTTAATGGTCAAAACAGCTTCATTTCGCCTGGGCGGCACGGTGCCATCCGTCCATCGCAGCCGGAGCCGCTAGCTCTCCAGCGTTCCTCCGCCTGCACCAGCTGAGTGAAGCGAGCAGGCACGGGAGGATTTGCTGTTGCAGTTCTTTGAAAGTTAAAGCATCATAAAAACTGTGTTACAAATATGGGAAAAAACATTCATAAGTTGCTTCGGCATAGAAGTCGCAGGACGGACAAATCTATGCAAAAAACTATGACTTATGCGCTGGGAAATACGGTACGTTTAGAGTCCAATGAATCAAAACCTCTTCTTCCACTTTTAACACTTTTCCCGCCGTAATTAGTCTATTAGGTAAAAACAGTGGTGCAGTCGTTTGGTAAGGAGAAAATATTTTTCCAGATGTTGGTAGAAACCAAACCGGAGTTAAAAATAAGTGACGGCCGACAGTTGAACATGTTTCAGCTGAACGAGTTGAGTTCTGGCTGCAGGTGGACCTCACCAAAACAGCTTTATAACTTGCTAATTTCAGATTAGCATCAGATTCCTTCTAACAGATGTTCAGAAGCTCTCAGTCTGGACTCGGCTTGGCTGTGGAGCATCGGCTCAGCGTAGACCTCGTCACCGGCAGCTGAAACAGCAGCCAGACCAAAGTGTGGATTTCTCTCTCCACAGTTTCCATTTAGTTAAAAAAAACAGCCGAAACACTCAGGCGACGGCTGAAACAATCGCTTTATAACTTGCAGCTGAGGTTTCAGTTCCAGCTGTTTTACACCTCGGCTAAATCTGCCCCTGCCAGCCATATAATTTAGACTTAAAGACGTGTGGAAAAGTGGCGTGAAAGCACAACACACATGAATGCAAAGGTTTAGCCATCACCACGTGGAAGGGAATGGAGGTGCCAGCGGGGTGGCAGCACCGCCGGTCCAAGAATGTTGTTTTGAAGTCCAGGTGGTTTTACTTTATCTGCCAGCCCTCCCCTCTACCACGTCCATCTCCTCATCGTCTTTTTTAAATTCCTTTTCTTCTCCTGTCCTCCTGCATCAGGTTCAAGTTGCAGGTTGCAGTTTGTCCAGTGGTTTCCCATCCCCCTCCTGCACACAGGCCGCCTTCATGTTTACATTCTCCCCTCCAAATTTGGGCAGCTCAAGGTTCCTGATTTTTTTTTTTCCTTTTCCTTGAAAGTGCATTATGTGAGCAATACACACCTAAGTGTGTGTGTGTGAGAGAAAAAGAGTCTAGTGAATGATCCACCCCTTCAGTTTCCTTCCTCAGTGGAGATGGAAACGCATGAGTGCACACTGTGTCCACACAGCTACCTGCATGAGGCTGGACAGGATGCAGGGTGGGAGTGACCAAATAATGGAAAAAGCTCTGAAGGCGGGGATTTGTAGTGCTGGGACAGAGTGGGGAGAGTAGGAGGGGGACACCAGAGGGCTGTTTGCACCTTAAGAGAAAGAATGTACTTTGCTTGTCTTCCTGCGTCAGAGACGGAGAGGACGACAGACCAGGAGCAGAAAGAGCAGCTGCTGTGAACTTTTAAAATCTGATTTGATCCATCCCATTCAGCCTTTTTGTCATCTTTCCGTTTGGCTTTTCCTCTTTCTCTGACCCCCGAGGGAGGCTTCAGCGAAGCATTTCCATCCTGTTTCTAGTCCACAGAGCGGACAGTGAAAGTTTCCTCCTGGCTGCTGGTGAAGTATGTTCATTTGTTGCAACTGTTTAGGAGTAGATGAGACTTTGCTCACTCTGCAGTGTGTTTGGACTCTGCATCTCTGTGGGAACAAACCTCTGAGAGCAGCTGTGAGGGTTTACCATGCATGTCTGGTATTTGAGTTTTATTGCCTCTCTGGACTTAAGAGGCTGCTCCTCCAGCTGTGGTACGAGCTGAACTGTATGTTTTGTTGCAGTTACTGTACGGGGGACTCTCTGCTCATCAAAACAACTTTATCTTTTACAACCACGGTTCTGAAAACAGTTAGGATGTTGTGTAAAATGTCAAGAAAAACAGAATGCAATGCTTTGCATATTTCATAAACCCATATTTTAGTAAACATATTCAGTTAATTTTATAACACCAAGTCATAAGAGAAGTCATCTCAGGGACTGAACAGAAACATTCATATACATAAAAAGTAAGTTAATAACATTATTTATCTGAGGAGCCAGCAGATAGCCTTGTCAGGTTCGTCGCAGACTCATCCTGAGCAAGCGTAAAGGCAACAGTGGAAAGGAAAAACTCCCTCAATCAGCTAAACTAAGATAAGGAAAACCATGAGCTAATGCCGCTAACAGAACAGAACCATGATGATGAAAGAACCTCACTGCTAACCGAATTACACTGTAGATGTTTTTCTTTTTCACCTTTGGCACCTTGTTTTTAATAAGTATGTTAGTAGTATTTTTAATATGTTTTTCTTAGTATGTTAATAG